TTTGAATTTTTATGCAGTTTTTAACCTACCTGATGAACGATCCTTTGGAAAGATCGAAATCTAGATTGTAGGGTTCCAATATATATAACTCACACCCACCCTCAAGTGATTAGTAATAGCAGCAACACTGTTCATACTACACAACAAATGACTGTACCATTGTTAAATTTAACTTTTCCAGTAAGTAAACATAACGATAATAGATCCATTTCTATTACTCTTTTTCTCTATTATAGCTTGAACCGCGATTGAATGATAATACAGCAACAACGACGACCCCTACAAATATAGAATCGAATAAACTGAAATTTGAATGCAAAAACAATGTCAACAGAATAATTGCTCTTAATTCAATCAAAACCTATTTACACAATCGAAAAAACAGAAGGATAAAACAGATCTATATCAACATGTCCGATTATCGAAAAAAATTAGTCAATTATCGTAAACGTTCATTAAAAGCAAAGAAAAGTGTAGGCGTATCACCGAAACCAATCTTTTATCTCTTCTACAATCCATTCAATGATCAAGAACGTGCTTATATTTCTAAAGGTTAATATATATATATATATATATAGGAATCCTTTTCTCAATATATAACTTTATTTGCAATATTACTATACTTTTAGGTCCAAATTATATCAGAATCAATCAAAGTGCTGTTGTACAAAATAGGAAACGTCCAAAATTAATACAGACGGAATGTAATAAAATTACGAAGAAAGTGAAAGACTATCTTGCTAAATATCATCACGTTGGTCCGACACAATCGATTCACAATATATTTTCAAAAAAATCTTCAAAATCGTCTCGAATTTCATTACATGGCTCCATTATTAATGTGCGATAAAATTCGTTGTCAATGTGAATTGAAGATTGTGAAATCGATTCGTCATAATAGAATAAAGCACGCTTTGTAAGTAAATTAATCGAGGAGGAGCGTTTTTTGTGAAGAAAATGAACTCCTCAATTCGATCGATTAATGGTACACATCAAGAGACAGAACTGGGCTGTTAAGTAAG